GAAAATAAAAAATAAGTGAATCCAAAATGCAAAAGCAGTTGAAAAGATGTGGAACGCTCAAGACATGACTGAAGCCACAAGCATTGGGGTTCCGTTTTGATTAGAAGAAGCTATAGAACAATGAACTAGAACCTACAGCTAGCGAGTATCAAGGTTTAGATCAGATTCTGCATGAAGAACCAGTCAAGAGTCAAGATCAAGTTTCAGAAGACTCATAGATAGGAATCTTGTAACTCATAACTGATAGGCTTGTTTAGTTTCTTTTTTATTTTGATATAATAGCAGGATCGTGGATCGGAACCTCGACGGAACCTTACTCGACTTATCAACTCATCATTCCACCATTCTCTTTGAACTACACGCGACCCGATTCCCCTATAACCCGGGATATGTAGGTTGTCCAAAACCAGGACTCGGTTGTACCCTATCTTTTATTTCTTTTCCTTTTGAATAATGGTTTGGTCAAAAATTAGTTACATGGCTCACCTAATCTTTACCTGAAAACTCTTCATGTTTTCAAGCAAAGAGGGGTAGTTGTGAGCACCTAATTTTTGTCTATATTTGAATTTTTATCACCTTCTAGTTTGTAAATATTTTCAGAAATTTAATATATACTTGTTAGCTTTGTTACATTATTTTTATATATAGGGTAAAAATTAATAAAAATTTAAAAGGTAAATTATTAATATTAGTATTATTTTTATTTTTATTTTAAAATAAAATAAATTAAAAAATCGAAAAAAAAATTAAATATATATATATATATATATTGTTTAAACAATTTCGGATGGGAATAAAACAAATAGGAAAAGTAGAAATATAGAATTAAAAAAAGTAAAAGTAAAAGTAGGTGGAAATTGTTTAATAAAAAAGTAAAAGAAAGTAAAAAATTAAAAAAACTAAAAGCAAAAGAATGTGAAAATTTAAAAAATGAAAAGTAAAAGAAAGTTGAAATTAAAAAATAAAAGTAAAGGTAGCTGATTTTTTTTTAAAAAAGAAAGAAAGTAAAAGTAAGTGGAAATTAAAAAAAAAGAAGAAGTAAAATAAGTGGAAAATTTAAAAAAAAAGTATAAAACAAGTGGGAATTTAAATATAATAAAAGTTAAAAAAATGGAAAATTAAAAAATAAAAGTAAAGTAAATTGGGGAATTATGTTTTTTTAAAAGAAGAAAAATGAGAAGTGGAAATTCCATTTAATTAAAAAATAATAATAAAATAAAAAGAATTAAAAAACAAATCTGAAAAATTTTGAAATATTTTCTATAAATAGGAGAGAAAGGAAAAAAGAAAGAAGGAGAAGGAGAGAAAAAAGAGAGAGGAGGGAATGGAGAGTATTTTTTTTTTCTTCCTCTACGCTAAGGGAATTTCTATTCGTATCATTCTTTATGTGTCTTTCACCACCCTTTAATACCAAAATTCCAACCAAGATAATTTCATAGAAACATGTTAAAAATTAGTCCTGAAACCATCGCTAGAGTAAGGTGATGTTCGAGTTTGCCGGTTCGAGGTCCTGGTTGATGGCTCATTCCGAGAGTTCTGCTTCAGGAGCTTCCATATCATTGTACGCCGCAGAAAAGAAATTTAGAAAAAGAGAGGTCCACTCTTCTTCTTTATTATTGCCTTGATAGTATAATTTCTTTTGTGTGTCTGATTAGTAGTCTATTAGTTTTCTCTTGTTGTTATATTACAATTGAATCAAATTTCTAAGTTTTGATGTATACCAGAAGTTTGCAAGATTAATAATAGGTTGTCTTATAATATGGGCTATTAGATGAGATAACTGGACCGTTTTGGGTTTCAGATTGATTTGTTTAAGTTAATGGTTGATTTTTAAACTTTTGTTGCTAAGGTTTTCATGTTGGTTAGATTACTACCAAGAACTTCAAAAATATAAGTTCCAATTTTTTGTCTGATAAGTTTTAACAATTTGAACCATCGTAGTGATATAACATTTGTACCAATAGATGAATTCTTCCAGGCCCTAAGAGCTAATTTGAAGCTAGCTCATTTGTTCATAATAAATCTGATTTATTTCTTCCACAATAAGTTCCATAACTTATGCATAACAATAATTTCAAGTTAGGAAGAATAAACATCGTAACTTGCTTTAGGCGCGATTAATAATAAATTATTGTGACTATGGGTACGGTTCATGTGGCATAGTCATAATACGTAAATCCCAACTGAAGTGCGCGTTTCACGCGACTTGACCCCAACTTCAAATAATTAAAATAAACATGTTGTGAATCACGGGTATGTTTCACCTGGCGTGATTTGCAATATGTACTAAAACAACGAGTGCGCGACATCGCGACTTGTTCAAATAAATTTTATAAATACTAAAAGGGCTAAAAATAATTAAAAGCGGTTAAAAAGTAAAAATGCAGAATATGTTGTAGACATGTAATAAGTCAGATAATTAGACCATGTATTCATTGTTAAACGACTGTGCTAAAACCACGGAACTCGGGAGTGCCTCACACCTTCTCCCGGGTTAACAGAATTTTTTACCCGATCTTCTGTGTTCGCGGATAATAAATAGAGTCAATTTTCTCGATTTAGGATTTTAAAATAATGTCACTTAAATTGAAAAAACTCTCATATCCCCTATCCCTCGGGAAAAAGGAGGTGTGACACTAGCGGATTCTCTTTTGTCTTGTAAATCCCTTATTCTGTACTACCCTATTCTTGAAAAGACCTTTATGCACCTTGACTTTTGGCTTTTCGTTTTTTCTGCTGGAGCTGTTTAGTTATATTCGTCTCCTTTTCTTAGTTCCCATTAGGAAAGAAAGCTCTAGAGTTCAAGGCTTCCTTGATTGGTACTACTGGCTTGTCCATCTACTAGGTGGGACTGCTCCGACATATTCAGTGCTATGCCCCTATTATCCCGTCCTCGAGACTGAACTAAGACACATCCCTTCTTTGCTTAGGGTTTGGTTCGGGTTCAACTTCTGCCGGTCAAAATAAAATACCAAGGCGGGGCTTTCTTTCCTGTGATTTCTGATATTGCAATGGCAAGCAAACATAAGGTTTCCCTCTTTCGGGCATAGGGTTTCCCGATTGATTGGAAAGATTTTAGACTACCAGAGAAAAAAAAGTTATCTAACCTTGATATCCTTGGTACTGTCCCTGCTGAGAAAGATCCGGATTTCTTAGAGAGTGCTTTTTTGGTGCGGTGTAACCAACAACTCAAGGCTATCAAGGGAAGGAGTTGCAAAACCGGAGTTATATAGCAATGAGAGGAGATTGACCGGTCGGGATCGAGTGATCTCAGGGGTTTAGGGGTGCTTCTCCTGCTGCGACTACCTCTCTATTTTCAAAAGTATATAGAAATAGTAGGCACTGGGAGTGAGTGAACTACCCGGGGAGAAGGGGTAACCTCTCTATAGAAGGGAAGGGAAAGGGTTATCTATCTGCTCATAATGATTGTAGAGTCTCTCGGGGTTGGAAGTCTAATAGTAGTCATATCAAGTCCTCCCCCTCTTACTCAGAATAGCTATCGAGAGGAATACTACTGATTATGTATGAAAGAAGGCTCTTAATAATGAAAAAAATCTTATCTTAAGGATAGAAAGGCCCCCACCTGCCTTTTCAGATACGAGTGAGTGAGCGCTTTTTCTGTTATGAATGAATGACCTCTCCATTTATTTTCAAGCTTACTCTTCAAACCGGCCTATCACTCTCCTCTATGAAAAGGTTCTTCCGGACCCCCCTCGAATCTTCCTTGAGTTGACGTTATTGAGACATCTACCGCTTGGATCCTTCCTTTGTTAGTCATCCGTAGAGCTAAAGGGAATTTTTTGAAGCCATTCCCATTATAAATTCACGAATTAGAAATGATGTAATATACTCTTTCCCATAACTTCTCATAGCAGATCAACCCACTAAAATATAGATAGGGATCAGAAATGTGGTTAATATCACGAAGAATAATTCTAAGAAACCGAATCACAATGGATCGAAGCCCTCCTTTTCCTTTCAATTAGTGATATAACTCAAGTGGGAGAGCCATGTTATGGGTGACCTTATTTCACGGCTCAGAGAGCACTTGTGTATGTGATGCAAGTGAACGTCTACGAAAAAATATTCGTGCTTTTATAATAATATAGATATAAATATATATAGATAGATAGATTTGTCGAACACAAACTGCTTCTCATCAAAATTACTTTTTAAAATTAAGAAAATACTTTTCAAAATAAATTAATATAGAAGCTTGGCTAACCAGGCTAGCAGGGGAGGGAATTGCTGTAGATCTAGTGAGACGAATTGCAGGAACATAGAAAATCTTAAATTAGATAAGTATTTCAATACAAAATTGTCTGACTTTCATTAACTTATGTACCCTAATCAAATCTATGTCGTTATTGCTATGCAAACTAGGTAGTCCTTTGGACTTATCAACAATAGAAAACGGAATTGGTCCATTTTCCTTAGTTGATACTGGGTATATCAAGGTTCTATTGAGAGAGTGACAAAGGAAGCCTAGTAAATGTAACAAGAAAATTGACATTCTTGTATTTTTCCTATTTTTTAGATCTTATAAATACTAAACATATTCCTTCGTTTGAGGTTGCTCTACTTTCGTCTTCTCGTTCTTCATTGTTTTTGCTCCAAGTCTTTTTTACTTCCACTTCTGCTTTATGAGTCCTTTGGTCTATATTTGTTCTCTTTATTTTGGATTTTCGATTTATGATTATCGAGATCTTTAGCATCTTCTTTAAAACATAAATGTAAGTTGAAGTATGCTTAATTTCTTGATTATCTTTAGCAAATGATCCACTGAAATTTTGAAAACAAGAAGGAAAAAAAAAGATAAACAAAGGCTGCTTTTTAATATTAAATTTTTGGGAACTGAGAGTTTGGTACTGAGTGGTCATTTGCTATAGCAAAATTCTTATTTTTTTCCATCTAAATTGGTTTTCCGGTATAGAATTTAATTGGACCATATAATTGATAGGAGTATACCTATATTTACTCAAAGAAATCACCATATTTATATGGAAAAATTACTTATTGCAATCATATGGCCAACTGTAATTGTTGTCACAATACTTGTTATACTGGTAAAATGCATTTCAAAGAGAAGCAAGAATATTGTAGTGGTTGCCCAAAACTTGGAGTCACCTACACTAAATGGTCTCTACAAATTCACAATTGTTGAGATTGAGAATGCTATAAATAACATTGGGAAGATTAATGTCAGAAGTACAAGAAAGTTGATAGGGAATGGAAGCAGAGGAGAGTTATATCAAGGGATTTTACCAAGTGGACAAGCTGTGGCTATTAAAGAAATGCACAAAAGAGAAGATGCAATGGAATCTTTCATTAGTGAAGTTGAATGTCTCTCAAGAGCTAGGCATCCAAGCATTGTGTGTCTCTTGGGTTTTTGTAATGAAGATGGGAAACAGTTTTTGGTTTATGAAAATTATTCTGCTGGAAATCTAGCTCAATATTTTCTCAGTGAGTTTCTCTACTTCAACTTTTCTCTTCATGTTTATATATTAGACACGAAGGAGAGCCTTGGAACAACGTTTTGTCTCCGTACTGTAAGTCACTGATTCGAACCGTAAAATCAGCCACTGATATTTGTATCAGGGTAGACTGCCTATATCACATCTTTTGGGGTGCAGCGCTTCCTCGGACCCTGCGTGACCGCGCGATGCTTCGTGCACCAGGCTGTCCTTCTGTTTATATATTAGAAACGGTCCAATTTCAGCTAACGTAACTTATCTTTTTATTGGATTTAACTTATATACATTGAAGTGTAATTGATTTTTACTCTCTCAGCACATTTTAACTTGTTATATCAGGTCATTTACTTTATATTTCTATATTACCTAATTAGGCTGATTATATATAGAGAATTAGGTACCTGTTGTTATAGCTCATTTTAATATGATAGATAGTATTTTATACACCATCAGTGCGCATAAGTTAATCTCACAACTTGTTCATGAAATATATATATAGGAGAAGATACTGTTTTGACTTGGCATGCAAGAGTTAAAATACTGAGGGGCTGTGCATGCGCAATCAAATATCTCCATCATTATATTGATGGCTGCATCATTCACCGCCATATTAAGGTAATATCTCTTAGAAAAAATAATTCTTTCTGTTAAGAAAAAGATCAAAATGAAGAAAAATATTGTTTCTTTTAAAAAAAAAGCTTATTTCCTAGTTAGAAAAAGAAAAGATTAGTCAACAAAAGCCTTTGCTTTGCATATACTATCTACTATGAGTTTAATTTCTATATACACTGAAGTAATAGAAGATTATATTACCTAAAAAATAACTACTGGTCAATATTCATAGTAATATATCGAGATCAGTATTCTTAGAAGATAAAGGCAGGTAATGTGTTATAATATATTGGTAGTATAAAATTTACTTACATTGTCTACTGATAATATTCCAATTTTTGTTGGATATATAGCTTAGCAGCATACTTTTGAGTGAGACATTGGAACCAAAGCTATGTGGATTTGGGCAGGCAAAGATGCTAGGAATGGAAGAAAGCCAAGTATTTGAAGATGTTGTGGAAAATGGAGTGTACACAGATCCTGAATACAAGAAGAGTGGGTTACTCACTTGTTCAACTGACATTTATAGCTTTGGACTTGTCATGCTGCAAGTCCTATCTGGTCCAAGAATTGCTCACTTTGGTCAAGATGACAGAAACATATTATTAACAAAGGTAAAATGCACTAGACTTTTCTTAGTGCTTAGGCATTATTTTCATGGATGGGGGAAAATGGAAATCTTGATTTTAAGGTTTATTATCTATCCTAATTTTATCTTAATCAAGATCCGTCCCAATTTATGTAAATTAGTTGTTTGACTGCGCATCGTGTGTAAAAAAAATAAAACAAAACTTGTCGTCTAAAGCATGATATGTACATTTCTATAGTTGTATAACATCTATAAATGAAACGTTCAAAATTAATTATTTCTAAATACACAAGTCGTCCTTCTTTTTGGGATCACAAATTAAAAAGACAAGCGTGTATCACATATATAAATTAGGATAACGAGAGTAAAGACGTTATATGAAATTGATATTTAATCGTGTTTACACTTTCAGCGTATATATATTATCCTCGTGAATTGGTGCAGGCAAAGGATGTGAATACAGGAAAGCTTCCAATCTCAGAGTTTGAAGATCCATGGCTGAAAGGGAAACAAATAAATCACGAGGCATTGAAATCCATTTTGCAAATTGCACTACTTTGTGTGGCTGAAACAAGCAAAGAACGCCCAACAATAGAACAAGTTTCTGAGGAACTGAACAAGGCTTGGAGCCTCAGCAATATTGCTCGCCCTATTAATATTCCTCCTATGTAGAAGTTAATTTAAGTTAATTTTCGATGAAAGGGTTATTAAACTTACGTGTTTAAAATTTTAAAGTGTCAGATTGGTTGCATACAAGAAAAACAAGGGTCAATAAGGCATAAGTTTAATTTTTGAAAGTATCTCTACAACATATTTAGGTTTATTGACCCTTTGGTGGCCAAGAAATTGTCTAATAAGACATGTTTATTGCTGCTTTTACATATTTATAATGTTGAATTATTGTGACACTAGTTTGATGAGAGGCATTTCTATTTCATTTAAGAAAACTCTATGGAATGAAATATACCTCCTATCTGGCTATATCTCAATAGGGAATTGCTTTCGGCCTCTACTATTTTTTTTTCCCCTTTAAATTGCTTGGCTTTTCAATGTTATAGGACAAAAACATTCCTCAAAAGTCAAAACGATATCAAATTCTGCTAAGTAATGAAATAGGAGTTATATTAGCAAAACATGATGATAGAGATCATCCCTACAAAAATAATTTAGGTGATCACGTAAAGGGAATGTACATCCGATTCAATTGAACCACAACCGAATAACACAATCATTCATATCAACAATCAAGATTCGTCAGAAACACAATAAATAAAATAATAAAAAGATAATCCATCCAACCCCGATTCAATCCGAACTCTTAAAATTAAAATAAATACGGTTGCAATTTGCTAAATTTCAGTGATTTTTCTTATCGAATAAATTAAAAGGAATGGTATTTTTTTTCCCTTGTTGAAACAATAATGCCAAAAAAAAAAATCTACTTTTCTTATAAAATGGTAATGTCGGGGTCTTATTTGGAACAAATTAAACCCTCTTGTCTCCAAGACTTTGATGAATTCCTAACAAAACTATACCTTCTTTACCCCTTCAAAGAGAAAAAGTAGTTGCAACATGCATTAATACGTGCTAGCTTTTGGTGTCTTAATTTATGTAAAGCAAAGCTTTTATGTCTGACAATCTATATTGCAAATTCTACGATTATAACATAGGAAGAGAACCAAAAGAGAATTGAAAGGCGAGGCAAGTTGAAATATATGCCCCTAATCATGAAACAAGTAGTAGATTATTACAAGAAAAATAACATTAGTATGTGTTGTGTATGCTTGTACACGTACACAAACTCCGTTTCTATCTGCCTACTTTAACCTTTTTGTCTTTGTTGTTTGGATATACTCTTTTGTAGAATTTTCGAAAATTTAATTGATAATATCGTATAATTTTCACCTTATCAAAGTAAAGTACAATAATTTCAAGCATATTATACAAAACCGATGATGCATAATCTAGCATTAGCACCACCCAAAACTCCAGTACATTCTTTCTTACGTTTTCAATGACATCCACACTTAATATCCAGCAAATTTTACTAAAATATCAAGGCACATAGATTGGTCTTTGGACTTTGAAAATGTCATTTTTTTCATTTATCAAATGCAATATACTATTGAAATATGCCTTATGCTTCAATGCATATAAGGTATATTGTTAAGCAGAAACAGCCACTCAAAGTTGCGATGGGCCGAGAATAACAAAGCAAGAAAATTAATAAAATAAAGAATATAATATCCTATTAATTCTTGGATTTTAATGAGGAATATATGCCTATATATGATCACCACAGTTTCTGGTCTCGGAAAAAATGGTTTGGTTATAATTTCTAAGGAATGGGTTAACATTATTAGCTATTTTCTTGATTATGTTAATGAAAAGCAGATGGTTGTAGTTAAGACACACTTGTTTTTCCAACTATGTGTTATTTTTGCTCTCACCTTTTTTGTTGCTGTTTCACTGGCTTCCCCAGAAGACCCAGGTATCTGCTTATGCTTCTAGCTTTTAGGGTGTGTTTGGGAGGAAATCAATTTTGATGTTTGATTGAATTAAATATTTTTAAAAATTAATTTTCTTAAGAACTCATTTCCATATTTTCCTAGTAAAAATAAGAAAAACATTTTTCAATACTTTCTGATGGTTTCAACCGTCCCAACCCCAACATCCCGTCAATGCCCCCAAACCACCCTAAGCCCCTGTCACCCACCTCCCGGCTAAACCTACACCC